AGTTTTCGTCGAGCCTCTAAATGAATTGTTCATTTTTATATCTACTTTTAAGGAAAAAAATTTGTAACTTGTTTTATATTTTTTCCTTCAAAGTATTATAAAAAAGCTTGTGGAGACCTTTAAAAAATTGTGTTAAGAGGACACAAGAAAAATGTGAAGTTGACACCTTGGTAGAAAGAGTAGTGTTTGGTGGAACATGAGTAATTAGAACATAAGTGATACCTGAGCTTAGCGCCTCAATTAGACAATTAATAATGTTCAAGGCAACACGAGAAATTACAAAGTTAGGCATCGTGATCAACTAGTTTATTATAACAATTTGGAGAAAGTAGTAACATTCAAGTGGTTGACTTGAGAAAGAGGATTTAGACATAATGGTATCATAGAATCTCAAAAAGATAACTTTTTCTCTGTCCTTTCTATCTTAATTATTATTTATTATTATATGACATCATATTAAGGTTCTCATCACACATACACATGCATAATTAATCGCAAGCATTTTTTGTTTCTCGCACTAGTGCATATCATCTTTATAAATGATAGAAATGAACTTCAATAATACTTAAATATTTCCATGTAAATTAAATAATGAAGACAAATATGTAATTAGCTTGTATGTCAAAGTCCAAAGTAGAAAAAAGTAAAGAAGTGTGCTTAAATACTTAAAATATTCTAATAACTCAATTCACTCATTCTTTTTGGTTTGTCGTAGACTTTGGGCTAATAATTTATATTAATATTAAAAAATAAAAATAATTACTTTTTTAATCTTAATAATTTTAAATTTTTAATAATGACGATAGTTACTTACATAAGATAGTGAGAGGTGGCAAGCAACGAATAACAACAAAAGGCAGTTGGAGACAAATAGAAGCAACTTACAGGTGATGACTTATAGGGGGCGAACAATGGTCAATAGCATATGACAGGTGTTAAAAGGAGGTAACCAGTGGCTAGTAGAGATCAACCGGCAAAAGGCAGAGAGTGACTGAAGGGGGCATAGGTTAACCAACTATGAATGAAGGACAGAAGGAGTAGGGTCGTCTATAGGGCAACAAGTACTTGGCAATGAGCTATAGTTGACGAAGGACGAGCATCAAAGAACGAGCAACAGAAGGCAATCGATCTATGATGGTCGTCAAAGGCAAACATTATAAAACGAGTAACGGGTAATCGATGAAAAAAAGCTAGTGGTAAAGGATGGTTAATTGGTGGGTGGCGTCAATCGGCTTACTATAAAGGATGACCAATTGGCAAAAGCTCCATGTAACATCCCTGATACTTAGAGAGTAAAAGGGAGCCAACTACCAAGTAGTTACATGTACTAATAAAATATTACTATTGAAGCAGAAAATAGAAATCTTTTACAAAATAATTTAAGAATTAATATTTACATCAGAGGCCATAAGATGGCAACCCTAAGTATCAAAATACAAAAAATATGGTTCTTACAAAATACTACATCAGAGTGCGAATTTAACTATTGCACTCGAATTATTTTCTAGTGTTTCACTA